AAAAAAAAAAAAAAAACCTGTAAAAATATGGGACAGTTAAAGGTAGATATAAAAAGGGATTGCAGGAATCAGAGAAGATAGAAAAAGGAAGGCAGGAATGTGGAATGGAAAGCTCAGAATTCTGAGAACTGACAATGCTTTTCCTCTAGGGTAGTTCTTTATGTCTGGTGCCATGGTGACTGGTGTCATTGTGAACAGTCAGACTGTGGCAAGAACACCGCCCTGGGTGTGAGTGCTTGTGTGTGGTATAGAAAGGGACTCTAATTCATCACCAAGTGCCCAGGCAGAACTGATCATCTAAGCCAGAAAGAACAAGGTTAGAGATTCCCAGCTAAGTCCTCCAATGCCACATGTCCTTTGAAGTCATTTTAGGCGCCTTGGAGCTCTTCTCGACATCTCACAGTGCATAAGGAAACCATACACTTTTATATCTTTGCTTTGGGCTAGTCTTATATCAACTCAGTTATCATGCCACGCAGGCCACAAGCTCTGATCGACAGCTACTTATTAAAAAGTAAAAAAGATCTTTCAAGCAAGGAGACTATGCAGCTAATATAGCTTGCTATGGGGGAAAGATGGAAGCCTTTGGCCTAATTCAATCACAAGAGTTCAGGTGGGCATTCTCACTCCCTGCCCTTCAAAAGAAACTGGAAAGGAGGAGAAACCTCCCAGTCAAACGTGGCCTTCTGAACTAGGGAAAGGCGCATCCTGGAGAGGAGGGGACTACGTCTTTGGAAGAGGCTACATGGCAAGAGTTCCACAACCAAGGAAGGAAGGAAGGAGCTGGAGTAAAATGCCTGCCAAGCTGGGGCCACCAAACAGGCTGGAGCATGCCACACCAGGCACAGGGACTCAGGAACACAAGAGCTCTCGCTAGTTGACTTTCTCAGGACCAGAGGTCTGGGCTTGCAAATCTCTTTGTTTCCAGCCTATTGGGTTTTCTTTATTTTTAGTTAGTTGATCCCTGGTTTCAGGAAAAGCTGCCTTTGGACAATTCCTGGGGGCTGGAAGTGGTGGTAGTGGTTTGATACCAGGGGCAACATCCTCAAGAGGGATTCAAGCCTAGGGGACAGTGTGAAGGCCCCTCTTACCCAGAGGCAGTAGGTGTGGAGGCTAAGTGCCCAGGCTCTGGGCAAGCCTGTCCAGGTTTGAATCCTGACTTTATCACTAGCTGTAACCTTGGTCACACACAATCTTGAACAAGTTATCTAACCAATTTGTGACTCAGTATTGTAGTCTCTAAAACAAAGATGCTAACAACTCCTTCATATAAGGCTGTTGGGAAGATTCGATGGTTGAATCACATAAAATTGGTGCTTTGGTTGTTCTAAGATGCTCAAATATCAGCAGCTTCAGGCACTTAGCCCTAATATCCATTAAGCCCTTAGAACAGTGCCTAGCACCTCGTAAGCATTTAGTAATAATGGCCAACAGGTGCCCCTTACCGTGTCCGGTCGTGTGTTGCCCATTCTGCACGTAAAGCTCATTTAATCCTCCCAACTATCCTGTAAGGCAGGAACTGCTATTATTCTCATTTTGCAGATGAGGCACAGAGAGGTTAAGCAATTTGTAGGAGGTCCAAAATTTGATTGGCAGGGCTGGAATCTGAACCCAGGCAGTCTGGAGCCAGAGCCCACTTTCTTATCATGTCCTGTAGTCTCTTGGTAGCTACTAACCATCATTATAGCCATTCCTGGGGCATCTTACTCTGGAATCCTGAGCTCCAACCTACAAGGGCTCCAGTTCTGCCTCAGCAAAGGGGTGTTCTTTTTCACCCTCAGCCCGGCCTATTTGCAGGGGACCCCTGATGCAGGCAGAGCTGTCCCTTACCTCCTCCATTTTTCTGGCACAGGTAGGGGAACCTCCAGATGTTGCCAAGGCCCACAGAGAAGCCAATCTGGGCCAGGATGTACTGCAGCTTACTGTTCCAGGCCGGCCGGTCCTCTGCGTCCAGCTCCTCCTCCACTGCCTTCTGCTTGCCGCCTGCCTCGCCAGCCACATTCAGTACGCTCTGCTTATAGTCCACAGGCTCCTCGAGGGCCAGCAGGTCGGCCACCGACTCAGTGACATGCTCACTGCTGTGCTCACGCTGGGTCACTTTGCTGTTCTTCGGCATTGATGCCACCTGGGGCGTGTAGCCCTGCTCCCCAGCACACAGAGAAGATGCAATTCAGCTGCTGTCAGCTCCTTCTCATCCAGGGACCTAGGAAACCAGGAGAGCAGGAGAGGATTATCTGACCACACTAGGAAGCTCAGGAGCCCAACGTGGACACAACCCAAATCAACTCCCCATCACACTCTGAGGCAGGTCAAGGGCCTCAAATACTGAGCTTGCCCTCCCTCCCCATCAGGGGCTGCCCGGTGAGGAGCTCAAGGCCTACAGACTCAGTTTCTCCACAGGCTTTACCCGAGCATTATTTGAAAAGTAAACCTAAAGGGGCAAAAGAGGCAAAGCCATACGCCAAACCCAAGTAGATCGTTTCTTGAAGACATTTCTCTCTTCCATACTGCAGAGCTTAGAGTGCTCAAGCCCCTCTGGAGGCCCATACAGCCCTTTCCAGGTGTTCTGCTCAGCCAAAACTACCTGGTGGGAGCCATGGAAGCCAGTGCCTGCCTTCCTTAGGGCCTTTTCATTCAAAATGCACGGATTATATCAGGAACTGGTTAGAAATGCGGCATCTCAGGCTTGCACCAGACCTCCTGAATCAATCTCTGCCTTTTTACAGGATCCCCAGGTGATTAAAAGGGATATTAACATTTGAAAAAAAAAAAAAAAAAGGGCTCTTGAGCCATCACCATGGGGCCCCTGGACACCAGTGCCTATGGCATCTCCATTCCCCTGGCCGGAGTGGCTAACCAGGCTTAGCTAAAGATTCTGGCACCAGAAGCCAAAAGCTGTTTGCTCAGTGCCAACGAATCTTGGGTCATTGCTCAGCACTGACATTATCTGAGGACTTCTGCAGCCAAGAGCTGGTTCTCCATCCTTCGGCGACAGTTTTACAGCAGATAATGTCTGCACAACACGGGCGGGGGAGGCAAAACCCTCCCCTGCTCCTGCCAGTCCTCATTTGTCTTTCATGCTTTCCCTTAAAGAAATAAAGCACCAAGAAAATGAAGCCTTTGAAGAATTCCACCATTCTGTTACATTTGAAGGCACCCCCTCATTAAGGGAAGGTTGGAGGATTTAAAATTAAACATACACACCCCAGTCTGCGGTTGCCCTGCATCTTTCTAGGGATGTAACTTACCCAGCTCTGTAATTACTTTATTAAGGGAAAGAGCTGTCTCTGGAAGCTGGGCTCCCTGTTTGTTCTCCTCGTAGGTGCGTGCCACCTGAATGGCACAGGCAAGGTTGCTGTGCAGTACAAGGGCCAGGCCTGTCGGTCCTGCCAGCCTCAACCCAGACCTCCTGGCTGACCACAGCCAAGGCCTGACTGTCAAGGAGACCTGCCAGCCAGGCCCTGTTACACATGTAATGAAGCTGGGAGGTTTATGGGGTTGGCTAGCCCTCCCTCAGCCAGGTCTTGGACCACATTAGCAGGTGACACCTGCTACCCTCCTCTTCCAAGGGGACAGTGAGTCTTAGTGACTGCCCCCTCACACCTCAAGAATAGACAGGGTTCGGCTTTGGAGTATCGATGACAGGGCCAGCCCGGTTAGAGGACCACAGAATTCCCTATAACAAGCTCCCTGCTGGGACTCACTTCACAGCGGGTAAGTTGAACACTCCATTGTGTCCTGAAGGGTGCCCCATGGGTGGCACTTGCGCATCTGTAGAACTTTCAGCCCTGAGCCTCCCCCCGCAGGGCTGCTGTGTTGCTTGTGCTACACAAGTGAAGTGCGGCCCTAGGAGTTACGCAATGGAGAGGCCTGTGTCCTTGCCTGGGCTGCCAGCATGGGCTCCTCTCCTCACTCAGCAGGTCCCCCGTCTGCAGGGCGTGCAAACAGAGAAATGGCTGCTTGTCAAGGCATCTCCCCCTCCCCTACAGCTTACATCCAGAGCTGTTACTAAAGATGAGATCTGGGAAGAGGGTGGGGGTCCCTCTGGAGCCTACAATCACTAGGGTTCCTTGGCTCAGAGCCTGTCTTCGGCCGCTCTGCCTGCAGCAGAGTTTGAGCAGAGCAATCTGCAGTGCATTAGGTATGATTTACTGATCATCAAGCCACAACTAGAGAAAACCAAGGGGGTTTCCTGCAAGTCTGCAGAATTTATCTTGCTGCTGACCAACTGGAGCACATGTTTCTCCATAAATAGCCTAGTGAATGGCAGCTTCGGTCACCAAGATGAGAAAGGGCTGGGAGGAAAAAAAAAGCATCATTTTAAACAAGGAGGACTCAAGGACATTCTGGTAAACCAGAGAAGGATACCTACAGCAGCATCCGGCAACCACAGAGCATCAGCTAACACGAGCTTCCTCCTTTTTCCCAAGATGTCACTGATGCCATGCGCATCCCACACTGAGGGATGGGGGCCCAAGGACTCCTGTGCCATTAGGTCTGCAGGATGCAAAGGGCTTGTACAAACCTCCAGGCTGAGGCACTGGGCTGGGCTGCAGTCATGACTGGAACCCTCTGTGTCCAGTGAATATGCCCAGGTGACAGCAGGGTCAGACTCAGAAATTAAAGCTTAAGGGACCTAGCAATTGTCCAGCTCAATGTTCCCATTTTATCTCTGAGGAAACTGAGGCCCAGAGAGAGGAACTGAATTGCCCGAAGCTACTCAGGTTCTCCTAACACCCTGATCAGAGCCTTGTCTGGGACAGAGTCAGACTCAGTAGGGGTGGGGGACACAGGGAGAAGACCACTGGGTGTGGGAGTGTGAGGCATGGACTGTGAAGCCGGACAGACCTGGAGTTGAGACTTCATTCACTCACTCACTCACCTGACATACATTTCCTGAGTGCCTCCTATATGCCAGCCTCTGTTCTAGGTGAGGGATACAGCAGCAAACAAAACAGGCAAACTGTCTCCTCTTGTGGAGTTTGCATTTCACGTGGAAGGGCCAAATACTAAAGAAATCGATGTGTAATATAATGGCCAGGGGTGATAAACGCTGTAAAGAAAATCACACCGGAGGGGTGCAGCAAGCTGGCAGGCAGCTCTTTTATGCTGGATGCAGGGATTGGGGGGGCAGTCAGGAAGGGCATCTCCGAGGAGGTGACATTTGAGCAGAGGCGTGAATAACAGGAAAGAGCACTGGCAGAGCGAACAGCAGACACAAAGCTCCCAAAAAGGAAGCAGCCCTGGGAATTCCAGGAACAGCAAGGTGGCCAGAGCTGCGGGGCAGAATGAGAGGCAGAGACGGGGAGAAATGCACTGGGGAGGGAGGAGCGTGGCCGTGCTGTGTGTGAGGACTGGGGCTGGCGCTCTGAGGGAGGTGGGCAGCCCTGAGGCCTTGGCCACACACTAGCTGTGTTCTCTTGGACACAGCACTTTATTTATGTGAGCATCCGTTTCCTCATGGGTGAAAAGATTGCATTTAATGACGCCTCTCATCTCCCAGGGAGGGCTGCTGTGAGGGTCCAAGGAGCGGCCACACACAGAGTGCCTGGCACAGAGCTTGGCACACAGAAAGGACCCAAATGGTAGCAGCCACTGCCTGGAAGTCTTGCATTGTTTACCTTTACACATTTAAAAAATATGTAAGTCCCCATATTGATATTTGATCCCGTCAATCCCATTTCTTCTCAAGAAAGGCCAAAGAGAGCTGACCGTGGGAGCGGAGGCGGGTGGAGAGAAGCATCCTGCACCACCTCAGTGATGCCCACTTTCTTCTCCAGAACTGGTGTCCACCTAGGGCAGCCCCTAGAAAGTCCTACCACACACCATACCCCAGTGTCAAAGAAAGCCAGACAAAGGTCCCACGGCTCCCAGCCTGGATCCGAAAGACCAGCAATATTATTATTAATAAAAACAAGGCCTGCAGTAAAAGTTAAGCATTATTGTTATTAAAATGTACCTCATATTTGGAATAGCTTGAGACCACTTAAAACCATTTTTTATTTTTTACAACCTGGGTTGGTGATCCTGCTCGGGAGTAAGACGGCCTGGGTTCCAACCCTGGCTCACTGCGTGCCAGCCACCTGGCCTGGGCAACTTTTCTAGCCTCCCTGAGCTGCAGTTTCCTCATATGTCAAGGGAGGGTGCCAGTGGTGCCTACCTCACCGTACTGTGAGGAGGATACGTTGTACTGGTCTTAGAACCCTGCAGCACCCAAGAGGCGCTCACAAATGGTACCGTTTCTTCAGCTCTCATTCAATTCATACCCCAGCGGAGGCTGTGACTTAGAACAACCCTCCCTGCCCCACCCCCAGTTCCCTGAAGCCATGTGCCGGTGAAAGGTCAGCTTTTACAGCAGGCAGGGCCTGGAAATCCAAAGTGTACCCAGCCAATGACCCCAAAGCCTTGTCTGTGAGGAGCATCAGGATCAGAGAAGGACCCTGAGAGGGGCGATTCCTCGCTTTCCATATCCATGCATCTCATGGAACCAGCCACGATCCAGACATCAGCAGGCCAGCTAGGTACTGGGCTTGACCAACCTACTGTGCAAACTGGTACCATTGCCCTAACTTCCCCAGACCTCAGTTTTCCTGTGTGTAAAATGGGTTGGCACAGATGGCCTCCAAGACCCCTTTCAGCTCTAGCATATATCCACTGCGAGTCCCTCCCGCTTGTGGGTGTGAGCAAGGAGCCACCTGCCCCAGGCACCTGTGACAGTGGATGCGAAAGGTAAGTTCTATCTGCCCTGCCGCCCTCCATCAGCTGAGAGCCCACTGGAGCACGGTAGAGATGTGGTGACAGACAGCCCAGCTGTATTCTAATTATCCCCCCGTAGTAGCTGGGGTGGGTTGTGAAGTGACTTTCATGAGCAACACGTCGGATGATGAAGCTGCAAGGTACTCTCTGAAAGGAGTGCCTCCGTCCCTGAAAGCACAGCGCAGAGGGGCGCGAGTGCTGAGCAAGCCCTCGGTGCCAGCTTGTCACTTAGCAACAGAGGTGGCTTGCAGCTCAGAATAGCTCCTGCGAGAGAAACAGGTCGGAGCAAGTGAACTGCGAATCTTCTTGAAAGGAGAAAAAATAGTGTGACTGGGAGGCAGACAGGTAAAAATATCTCCTGCCAGAGGGGTGAGGTCTCCATGAAAATTTTTCAAGCATAGCATCCGGCAATTAGCTCAAGGTGGTGGGGAATGGCTGCTCTCACCC